ATGATTTTTTTATTTAATATTAAGATAAAATACAAAGTTAAAAAAATTCCAAAAATATATGACTCATACTGTATATTTACTTAGTAACAGGTCAATGTTTATAACAACATATCTCAATATATTACTATTGTAAATTTTATACTAATTACTTTTGTAAAAATTGAATCAAAGATTACAATTTAAGAAGTGTTTTGCAAAAATAAACAAACAAACAAATTTAATTTCTTATATTGGAAATGAATCTTTAACATGGGCTTTTAAATATAAACCATATTTATTCCATGTTAATTTAACAATAAGCATTGAAAATAAATAAACAAGTAAAAAAAATGTTTAAAAAAAGAATATTAAAAGTGAAAATAAGATTATTATTAATTTGATTTGTTGAAATTGTAATAGCAATGGTTTTTTTGTTAAGTTGAATATTATTATTTTATTGTTTTTTGTTATGAAATGATTTCAAGAATCTTTTCCTATAAAATTATATTTTTATTTTTAGATTTTCATATATTATTATATATTAGTTTAAGAAGTTTATTAAATATTTAAATATATAAAATATTAAAAAAAAAATCTCTTTTCCAAATAACATATATACAAAAAAATTCTATTAAATAAGAAAATACAAAAAAATTTTATTAAAAAAACAACAAAGGATTCTGAAAAGCTATTTATATTTTTCAAGAATCAATCTATTGAACTTATATATATACTGCTCAATGTTCTTATTATCAATATTAACAAATGTCTTGTTGTAATTATCCACAAAACAATAACACTAATATAGTATACACTATACATGTTGAAATTCGTAGATTCTTGATGCAATTGACGCAATTATTTGATGCAATTAATTGAGTCACTATTAAAACATATAAATAATTAAGTCATAACTTAATTATTTTTGAGAATTTTAAAAATTGAGTTAACACCAAATAATTTATACTATATGTAAAAATGTATATATTTTACTGAAATTTGTAGATTCTTGATACAATTGATACAATTATTTGATTTAATTATTTTTGAGAATTTTGATTTTTTTTTTTTTTTTTTTATCGTAAAAGGGCATTAGATGCAAGTCTTTATTAAATTGTATATATATGATACATGAGTTACATCAAACATCTTTACAGAAAATTACTCTAAATTAATGTTAACCTATCTACGATGCTAACTAAAGCGATCCTCCTTACACTTAATGTAGATTGGATTAGCGTTAGTGCTGGATGGTTAATGCCCTTCCAGAATTAAGATAAGATCTTGAGACTTTAGTACGTTCATTTGGTCTATTTGTTGTGAGTTGGAGTATGTGATAATTTTGTCAAACAAGTCTGATTGTGCAATAGATAATCCTTTCAGTTTGATAATTGTGGATTTCGGTGTAGATTTTTTCCATCTAATACCCAAAGTTATTGAGGTATTTGCTGTTGCGGATCTTGGTAACCATACTGATGTGTATAGGAGTTTGAGAGTAGAGTTCGTTAACTTGGCTTGTGCTTTTTTTGACAGCTGGATTCCGAGGGTCGACATTCCGCATGCTAAGCCTTCGAGATTCAACTTTCTGTTGATACTCAGGGTTTGTAAATAATGAACTGATTCTGCTACCATTGTTTTGGACTTGCTTTTAGGTAAGAGTTTTTTAATTTTGTTTATGATTTTGTTTTCGATTTCGTCAAACGCCATTGCGTTTTTATAGCACTCAAATATGTGTTTTTGTGTCTCAGGTACAACCAGGCATCTGGGGCAGAGGTTGTTTTTATACAAGTCTGGGTATCTCTCATGTAATAATTGTCTTGTGGGAAGAGTGCCGTTGAGTATTTTGCATCTAAATGCTAGCAAGGATGAGCAGCTGAGCCTATCCTTTTTAATGAGGAGCTTGTTGGCTAAGTAGAGTGTTTGAAGAGTTTCCAAGTCAGGTGTTTGGTTCCACCTTTCTTTTACAGTTGAGCTATTAATAAGGTCTACTATTCTATATATTTGTTGAACTCTTTTGATCCAGTGTGTTGGTCCTATGCTCCAACTGTTTTTAATTCTAGGGCTCGTTGTATAGTTGTTGATTGCTAGGATGTTGTCGATTGAAATAATGTTATCGGTTTCCTGAGGTACCAGAATGCTGGTCTGTTTACAAAGGGTTAGTCTAATCTTTTTCGTAGTGCAAAGCTCGTTAATACAGTTAGTTAGGTGGCTATATGAGATTTTGATTCTACGATTAAGGTAGCTTGGGGTGTCCAGCCGCAGTGTAAATAAAGTATTGATAGTTACGTAGGTCTGTTCCTTAATGGCTGCTAGGAGTCCTATAATCGTTAGCAATACGTTAATAGGTTGGTTGTAAGCTGAGTGCAGAGCTAAATTAATTTCTTTGTTTGCTATGAGAACTAGATCGTCTTTTGTCGAAAGGTCTATTATTGAGAAGGGACGTATATTCGATATCATCTGCTTGATATCTTCTACCATGTCCTCGTTTAGCTGAAGAGTATCTTTGCCAGGTAGGTTGTTGTTAATCAAGACGGTAGGGGTGGTGTTGTCTTCAGTGTGTACCTGTAGCTGTTCTATTATTTCTTCAGGAGCATTGGCTAGATAGTGTTGGTTGTTTCTGGAATAGGTCCAAAGGGACATGGCTTCACTGGTGGGTACTATGATATCTGCGCCAGTGTTGTGACATTGACATTTTGTGAGTATTTTACTTGAATCGATGATATAATGTGGCCCCTTAAGTGGTCGGCTTGTGTCTCTGTTGATTCTTGACTTAATATACGATACTTGGTTGTTTTCCATGAAGGCCCAGAATTTAGCTTTAAGGTTAGGGATGCTAGTGGAGGTGCCTTGGATGTCAGATGGGATTTTGATTTGTGTAAACCATGATGGCACAGGACCTGGTCGAGTAGGGCCTATATGCGTGTTAAATTCGTGCCAGGTGAGTTTCCGGTTGTTCTTGTAAACGCACAGATCTTTAAGAGTCTTGATTCCTTTCCGGAATAGATCTGAGGCCTGCCGCTTGGATGCCTTGTCTTTGAATGAAAAGAAGAGACCTAGAGATATATTGCCGTCAGGGTCATTGAATTTGCAGTTTGGAGGGCACATGTTAATTTGGTATTTCTTGCATGCCATGGCTGCTTGGGTTATCCAACTGCTTGGGAATTTTTCTGGGTGGCAAATTGGGCACAACCAGATTACATTGCTTGCCTGTATTGACTTGATTTCTATGTTAAGAGCGTCTGATGTTTTTGGGTTGCATGCTTTCGCGACAAGAAGTTTGGTCAGGGTGAGGTCTTGTTTATTCATGAGATTAATGCATTTAAGGCCGGCTTGCGAGTACACGATTCTGTCAGAGGTGGTTCTTCCTATGTTGAACTTCCGCTTGATCGAACAGTTGATTCTGGTTTGAATTGTATGCAGTTGGTTCTTTGTCAGTGTTGTCGAGTGCAGTGCATAGTCAATTTTGCTTGGCACTATCCAGTTGATTACTTGCTTAGCTATTGGTCCATTCCAGGGTTGCTTATTGAGTGCTGAGATTGTTTGGTTCAGGTTTTTAATAAAAGGTTGCTTGCGTGAGTTGCCGGAGCTGTCTCCTGAGAAGTAATTGCCTAGGTAGCGTAAGGGTACTTTATGTGGCAGTGGTTGAACTGAAGTATCGAGAACCTTTAGACTTGAGTTTCTGTTGCCATTGTTGTTGCCCAACGTTGTGATTAACATCATTTTTTCAGTGTTACATTTGATATTGTTAAGAGTGAGAAAGGAGCAGAAGATGTCTGTAATTCTTTGTAAATCTCTTATTGACTGAGCTAACAGGAGTACATCATCCATGTATGTGAGGATATTGTGAGAAATCAGTGTATGATTCTGGAGACTGAAGGCTGCTGCCACCATTGGATCGTAAAAAATAGTCCAGAGTAGGGATGACAGGGTTTCTCCCTGATCCAGACCTTTTGAGACTACGAAATTTCTTGTTCTTCCACAATTAGTTACTATAGAGAGGTTTCTGTTGTTAAGCAGATTAAGAAATATGTTTGTCAGCTTGCTTGGAATTTTGATTCTTATGAGGGCTGCTTTTAGGCTGTCAAGGTTTACTGAGTCGAAGGCTTTAGCGATATCAAATGAGGCAATCCACAGTTCTTGGTTGAGGTTGGTTGCGGCATTTATGGTTGAGGTAGCTATCGACAATGGTTCCATTGTGCTTTGCTCTGCAAGGCCAGCAAAGCTTGCCTTTGAGAGGATTTTGTGTTTGATGAGTACTGCTGAAACTCTAGTGTTAATTATTCTTGTGAAGATCTTTCTGGTTGACTCAATAAGTGATATTGGTCGAGTGTCTGAGATTCTACGAGACCAAACTAGTTTCTTTGGTAACAGAACTATTGATAACTTTTTCCAGTATGTGGGGATTTGTTCGCTAACTAGAACATTGTTGTACAAGTTTAGAAGTGTTTTCTTTGAACCTTCGCTTAGAGAGTTAATCATTTCGTATGTGACACCTAATTCTCCTGGGGTTTTGTTTAGAGGTAGTTCGTGAGTAACGTTAGATAGTTCTTCCAAGTCGATTTGGCTTAGAGTTGGGTTGTAAATCTCTTCTGATATGCTCTCCAGTGGCAGATATTTGTTGGCCCATTCTGAGTTTGATAGGTCGAAGTTGCTGTTTTTGAGAATTTTTTTGAAATGGTTGACTATAATTGTTTTGATTTCTTCTGGGTCATCTGTAAGGTTACCCTCACTGTCTTGCACTACGTTCAGGTTTAAGGAGGGTTTCAGGTCCCCCAATGCTTTCTTGATAAAACTCTTTGGTCTTTTCCAGAATTTGAGGTAATTATCTAGGATGGTTTTGTGAATTTGATCTGCTCGCTGTTCTTTTATTTGGTGTAATCTCTCTTTGATTAGGGTGCTTCTCAGGTGATTAAGTGTGTTGATTGATATCAGTGTGCTGTTGAACATTTTTTGGTGCAATGTATTAATGTTCTTTGGAATTTTACTTCCTGTACCTTGCGCTTTTGTGTGGTTCCCTTTCTTAATGCTTGAAATTAGTCTTTTAATTTGTTTTAGTAACTGAAAATGCTGGCCAATTCTTTGTTGATTAGCTCTGTGCAGTGGTGGTTTGACTAGTGGCAGATTGTTTCTTGCTGCACTTATTATAATTTTGTTGAATAGTGACCAGGAGCAGCTGTCAGCTACGTCAATTCTTAGATCAACCTCTTCACTAAAATCCTTCTTTTGTTGTGGTGACGCATTCTTCCAGTCAAAGACTTTGGTCTGGCAACCCTGTATCCCTGACTTGTACTCAAACCAATCGAATATCACTTGGACTTGTTTGTGGTCAGAGATTATAGATTGTGAAGTGAATGTTTTGCCTTCCAGAACTTTAGAGCCCAGGTGGTTGGTGCACCAGATCTGGTCGATTCTTGATGCGCTTGTCTGAGTATAATGGGTAAAATCGCGTTCCTTGTCGAGCACCTTGATAATGTCAATCCAATTGTGCATGTAGTTGTAAATTCTTCTTTTAGGATTTGATGTTGGAGCATTTATAGCTGGGGTACCTGTTGGATATGAGTTAAAGTCGCCGGCCATAATTTGATGTACGTTGTTACTGAATTTTTTGATGTGTTTAATTAATGATCTTGTTGCTATTTTACGCTCTTCTGACTCGTGTGGAAGATAGATAGCGGTAACGATTAGGTCAATTTTTGGTTTGAACTTGAGATGAACTGCGCACCAGTATTCATCTTCCGTAAATGTCCTGAATATATGATTAACCAAGTCCTCACCAACTATTAGGCATGCACCGTTTTTAGAGGAGTCTGAGGGGGAGCTTGCGATGATAGTCTGGTTGTTACATTTCTTTGGGAGTCGATTTCTATGTGATATTTTTGTTTCAGAGCAACATAGTATTGATCTACTATTTGCGAGATCTTGTGTGAGAGCTGTCAGTTTAGAAGTGTTATTTAAACTGACTGTATTGAGAGTTGAAATGTTCAAGAGGTTTCTGATAAGTGGGGTTTGTTTTTTTGCCAGGGGGTTTTGATTTGTGTTTATTTGTAGTGACTGGATAGAGTTGGGCGGGATTATCATATTAACAGATGAAGGGTACAAGATCAAAACCGGGCTCCGGTAGATTTTCGGGGGCAATATAGTTGTCGGGAAGCCTTTCGAAGGCATACTTTTTATGTAATTGGGCTATTGTTGTAGATAGATTCTCATCATTCTTTAGTGGAAATCTGACTTCAGAGAGATTTTCTTCGCACGTTTTATTGAGTTCCTCTATGGAAGGTAAAGGAGGCTTGGGGGCTTGGAACCAGTCCTCAGGGATTGTGCAAAACTCGTATTTCTCGTGCAGTTTGCGGATAATCGCTAGGAAGTCTTCGGAGTGTCTATTGATTTGGTCTTTGACTCCAATAGATATGTCTAAGTCGGTGATTTTGGCCGGGAGTTTTTCTTTATCGGTTTGTGATATTGAGGAATCTACCCATTGGGGACCCAGGGGCAAATTAAATTTGAAGTCTTTTTGCAATCGTTTTATAAGGATCTCTGCACTTTCTTTCGATTGTACTGGAAGTGCCATATCCAGTTCGTCAAATAATGGATTGGGCGAGGAGGGGAGTGGTCTTTTGAACTTGTAATAGTTCAGGGGTAGAGTTTTGAGACTATACTCTTTTCTTAAGATTCCAATTAGCTCTCTTGTGTCCATTGTGATTGGATCGTGTGGGAAGTAGGTTGCTAAATGTGCTGGCAGCAACTTGTAAGAGTCTGGGAGAGGAGTTTTGGGTGGCGGTAGATTAAAGAATGATTTGGGAAGCTTTGCAGGAACTTCGTAGTATCTGGCCAGTTCCTTTATTCTCAATCCAAGGTCTTTGAGATCTTTTCTTTCAACGATGGGAAACAAATAATTAGTTTCTTCATTCAGGTCTTTTGGGTTTTCTGGTAACTCTGAGAATTTGAAGAAGTATGAGTCTGGAAGTTGGGCAAACTTATAGTATATCCTGAGAATTGACACGATTGGGGAGAGGAGTGATTTTTTCTTGATTGGGAGTGGGCATGGGAGTTTTATAATTATGTTGGAGGGGATCTGATCTGGCAAGATTGGTAGGTCTGGAAGTGATTCGTACAACATATCCTTGATAAGGTCTAACAATTCAATATAATCGACGTAGTTATCGTCGTCTCTCAGCAGGTAGTTGCATCCATATTCCAGAATCTGTGCTATTTCGAAGAACCTAAATTTGTTAAGATCGGTGAACCTTAGGCAGGCTACGAATAGTGATGAGTTTAATATCAATCTGATTTTTCTCTTGATTCTTCTGCTGATGTAGTTGACGTTGTTAATTTTTTTGTAGTTCTCGTGGGCTTTTGTTTCCAAAGCCTCATATTCAATTTGATGGTTCCCTTTCAATAGTTTATTTTTGGTGAATGATCTAAAAAAGGTTCTGTCTCTCAGAAGAATTTTGGTAAAGATTGCGAAATGGGGCTCTTGAATGATTGACCCTTTTGGAGTGGTCTTGATGTTCTTGAACAGCTCAGCTACTTTCTTTGCATTTGTGCGACAGGCTGACAGCTGTGATACT